GCTTTTCTTTTTGATTGACATAAGTGAAACACCAGTGGCAAAACCAAAATTCCAAATTAGAATCGACTCACTAAAAGAATTTGTAAAACGGTGTAATCACCACTGGAATTGGCTCATTTATATTACTGAAAAGCAGTTTTCAGAATCTCAGAGCTTTAAAGAACAGCGCCCTAAAAACCAACAAATTATCTGAGACATTTTTTGTCCTAGTCTGTTGCGCCATTATTATTTGACAATGCTCGGTCATTTATTTCAAGAATCGTAACTGTGATTAACAAGCAAGAGCTCAAAGTATAGAATTTGAAATTATTTATCTTATTCGTCCGACCTCCTTTTCCAAACACTGCGTTTTCAAACATTTATTAACTTTTTTTTTTTGCCCAAAGAAACCACTTCTGATTAGAAGTGGCAAAACTTGTGTATCAAAGCTGCTCACTCTAGGTTTAACAAGGCAGTCTTGTAAAAATTTTCCTCGCCAGCGGAAATGTGAACACAAACGATGGTTATTTGAATTGGTAAAGGTGTCTTGTAGCGAAGTAGTTAAGTGAGCTCAAAATTTCTTCTTTATTCCTTAAAATTATGACTGGAGAGGAAGTAATCAGCTGGTATTTTCAGTTCCATTTACAAGGATTCGGATCTGAAAAGCTTCGATATCTAATAGAGTTGTATTTGCGTACTTCAACGACAGAAGTTACGTCGGGTATCCCACAACCAGTGCTGACAGCTCAACAAGGTGAACTTTTGTGTCAAGCAATTGAAGGCTCCCATATTGTACTGGAAGTTGCGGAACTGTCTAACTTGTTGTCCGAAGTGTTTCTGCTGATAAGAAAGACAATCAAGGTGATTTTTATTCAGAAATATAACATTTACTATTTACTTGTAACAGTTTCAACAAGTTTCAATTGTTCAACAACTGTTACGTTAGAATTCGTCAACTAACAGATACGGCCGTAACTGTTTGGTAAGTCATTTTGGGAGAGAAAACAAACAACTGAAGGATACGACTATGACCGCGTAATAAACCAAATGCGCACAAGTTAGAAGACTGGGAGGAGGTATATACTGTTAACTATGGTCGAAGCCTAACTCGTAGGTCAAAAAATCTGTATCAAGCTACTTGGATGCTTTCAAGCTCCTGAATACTGATTTTAAAGTTTTGCTCCTCCGAAAAGAAATTGGGCTAGTTGTTGCAAACTTAAATCAACGATGTCCCACTTCAAATTAAAAATCCTGAACAACAATCAGAAGGCGAATGATCCTCAAGACTCATCCACCTTCTGAAGTGACATCACGTCTGTCATCAGACCCGTCCTTGTTCCGGCCAATTCCTGTCCTTCCTTCATAACGCACTGACGCTTTCGTCAGACGGTCCTGCCGAACACACCTGACACCTTGATTTTCGTCTGTCGACTCCCTGTCTGCGGTAAACCTTCAGACGCCTAAATCGCTTTTTCTGCACTTTTGTTGTTCAGTGTCCCACTTCGGGCTACGGCGAAAACCGTCTTCTCCCTTATCATTTAAAACGAGTTTTTGTGTCACCAGTAACTAAACATCGTAAGTTATCTAGGCTATAGAAGAGTCGCAATCAACCGCTGGATACTTGTGTGCTCATTTTAACACAGAGCATGTCAAGGGATTCGAAGATGAATATGGCGCATTTCTGCGAACAATACAAGGCGACCCCGTCGTCAAAAACCTTCAGCAGAACTACAAGCACAAAGTCGACCAACTTACGCTTCAAGACGGGAAAACGCACGTTTATTTTCATCGTGACAACAACGGCAGCATTGCTTTCAGCTGCGCAAAATAACAAACGCCTTTTGCCGGACACTACTGAAGGTACTTAGCACACTTCCTCACACTTTTTGTGGATGGGTACAGACCTGTGATCTCATTCTCTTTATTCACTACTTCTATTTGATTATGAAAACAACTAGTTTGTTGTGCTAAGAGTATTTAATGATATATTGACAGTACGTTTAAAAAAGAACATCAATCAAAAACTTACCAATATAAAACCCGCTCTGACAAAGTTCTTTTTTATCAATTCTTGAATGTTGTAAATAATAAAAACATTGCGTCTTAAAGAAACATAGAGATCAAAAAATGAGACGAGCTTTTTGGGCACAACAACGAGCCGAGCTTTTAATTTCACTTCCTTCTGCGGTTCTTCCCCCTACACGAGTAAGTTCCTAAACTCACCCGGATTACATCCAAAGGTTTAAGTCAAAGGAATTCAAATGCATGTATGCCCGAGCTACTAAAGTCTTGAGCCAAAAGTCACAGAATTTCCCATTTCATCGTCGCCGGGTACTTTTCATCCATTTCAGCATGTATTAGTGCACAGTCATCGCGAGAATCTATTTGACCGAGATCATTATATTCGTAAGCCGCCATTTTTAAAACCGTTTTTTCCAGTAAAGGTGCCGACGCGCAACGATAAAGACTTCTAGCTGCTGCTAAGTAAGACAACCTCAAAGAGTCGGTTTCTGAAACTAACATTCACTTCAACTCATTGAATTCTATGAAACTAGTGAATACGGGGTGGGGACTATTTCAAATTTTGAAACGGTGACTTTCAGCAGTCTTTGCACATCTGGACCAATTGTAGCCGTATTTTACCTCTAGTTCTCGTTGCTTTCCACCGTTCTTTATTGATCATATAAGCAGTCAACGCAAAATGGGCCTTCTCCAGCAAACTGCACCGGGTATTGATTAACCATTCACAGCACGATATCTTTTCCAGTGCCTTATCATACTTCCTCTCCAGCATCTACAAAAGAGTTTTCAAATCAAGAAGCAACATTCCGCGCTAAAACTGAACTTACATCTACATATGCCAGCCTCCTCGTTATCATAGCGGCCATATTGTCAACTTTATGTGACTCAGCCAATTCAAGACACTTTTCCAGAATACGCCGGGAAACGTGTTCACGTCCGTGAGAGGCATATAACATCGCTATGACCATGTCATAACTAAGGACTGAACTTTCATTAGGAAGGTGAAGAGTGAAAGATAGTGATGAGATAATGGACAGATTTCAGGGAAGAAATCAACTAAACGACAGAGGAAAGAGAATTGTCGAAGCTTAATTTGTTACCGTAGTTTAAGGCGTAAATCCTTTGACTTTTCAATAGCTTTCAAACGAGTTCTTATCACATTGAATGCGGAACGTAAATCTCCAACAGTAAAATAGAGAACAGATTTCCTAAAACTTCAGCTATTGGTACAAAGAGAAAATTCTTCAAAGCCACTCATTTGACTCCACCCTAACACGAGGAGCACTTTGAAGGGAACGTCTATTATAAAAGCGCCTCAACTTCTCCGTTTGCACCAAAACATTACTTAAGTCAATTGTCAAGATGAGTGGAAACCTTAAGTCTGCCTCTTCTGGAGCCAACGAGTCCATAACTTCTAGCCATCTAAATGCTTCAGCCCAATTCCCCAACAGAAAAGAACGATCGAAGCTAATTAAACACTCACACTTTTTCCAGTGAAGGGCACACTGCAACAAAACTGTAAAAAAACCAAATCTGACTGCTTCAAAAATTTAAAAGGACATCACTCGCCAGTTATGCAATCAACAATATGCCAATAAAGTTCTTAAATTTAGCAACCAATATTTCAAAAAAAAAAAAAAAAAGTTAGCGAATGTAAACAGGAAGTCCAGCTGGTGGTAATTCCTCTAAAATGCAAACTCCTTAATTTTTTTCGAGATATTTTGAATACCTGCTGATTTCGCTCCAGAGAAAACTGCGATTTCAACTGTTGAAGAAGATCAAATGCAGCAGCAAATTTCCCATTCATTGCATGAACATAAATAATATTGACCGAAGCAATAACCTTAACAAACTCACAATCACTGGCATCAATATTATAATATTGAAGAAGTAAAAGAAAACTGAGCTTACATGTGCTTCCGTATTGTACTTGCGGCAAAAAGAATCACCAAAATTGTGAAGCAGCAGTGCTTCACTGTCAGTAACGGCAGCCTCAGTAAAACCATTAGCCAACTTCAGACTTGCTGCCACTACCCTGGCAGCTTCGTTTATTAGACGTGTTTGTGAAGATCGATCACCACCATAATCTGCACCAGCGCAAAGCTGAAGGCCATCTGCTACCCTAGGCGTCATTCGTACATATTAAGAGGAGCGGAGGAATAACACGTTAGAAGATCAAAAGAGTGATTCTGTTAACAAACGTGTGGTTTTCAGAACAAAAACTCACTGCTTTGGATTTATACATTTCTGAGAAAGTATAATACAGTTTTGAAGAGCAGCACAATCGCGAAGCTGCTTGCTAAACGCCTTAGCGTCCTTCTCCTCGTCAACATACATTTCATTTTCCTGTTCAAAATCATCGTTTGAACTGGCTGACTGAAGTGTCCACATTGAAAGAAGCTGAGAAGGGGAAAAAGGTGTTTCGGGAGCTAAAAATATAAGAAACTTAAAATGATTAGGGGACTACGCAAAAATGTGTAATGTTTCAAGACCACCTCTATTGCGTTTACTTTTCCTGAAGATGACAAGACAATAATGTTAACAAACTCTGCTTTATTTGGTCGTTCAAATCCTCTTCAGCCTCAATAGCTGCCTCTTCAACAATCGCTAAACGAAGACAGACTAAATCACGGTTTGAATGAGCATGCTGAATAGCTTCTGTTAATAGATGACGGGCACGCTGACTAAAAATTTTACTTCACAACAATAAGCTGCAGTATAAACGTCAAAAACAAAAATCCTGCTTCAGTCTTAAAAAAGAACAAGAAAACCTTTGATTGAAAAGTCGAGCAAGGCGAGCTAAGAGAAGAGGAGCATAACGTAACGGGCGGGCATCACAAGCAGTGAGGCGTACTTCTCCATTATTGTCTCTACCATTAACTCGAATAGCACCCCAGTCAAAAAACGCCCGTAGAGCCTCTTCTGCTTCTACTGGGTTCCTGTTTCTTATCGCATTCAGCATCAAAATGAGGTGCTAAATTTACTGAGACCTTCATATTTCCAAAAATACTGACAGCGAACTTACTCTGATAAAAAATTATGAACCACAGAATACCCCTTTAGCTTGAACAATTCATTTAAATTTTTAACAACCACGAAAACATTCTCATTATGACTACCTCTTGTCCATCTCCTACCCTTTTAAAACCTGATGCCCGTGTAGATGCCGCACTTCTTTTAACCTTATGTACAAACTCCCCTGCACTACCTTACGTTCCTTAAAAATTTAAAAATTTTAAACCCGTCCACCTTCAAATTGATGAAACAACTACTTTCTGAGTTAACTACTGACTTAGAAATTAAAGATAAGACGACGCAAAAATTAAATACAACTCTCCTACAAACCTCACTCGAAGAAATATGTTTCAGTGGAAAAATATTGTGATAAAACTCCTCTCACACCCTGTTTGACTTTTGAAATCCTTTTCCTTGCTAACTGACCTTAAACGTTCCAGAAATCATCCGAACGAAAAACAAAGAAAGCTACTTCAAAACAGAAATATCGTACCCCTGAAGAAAATTCATAATCTAAAACCTGAAAGTGCTTAACTAGCAAAGAGCCTAACCCCCTCTCAAGATGAGATAACAGTTGATATTTCCTGCACTAGTTTTGAAATTAAAAGTAATTTTGCATTTTGGCACTAATTTTGAGGTTAATGAGTAACGAAGTATAAAATTACTTCTGCTTGTAAAATAAGCTCAAGAAATAAAAAACAGCTTTCTATTTGAAAAAAAAAGTCTTCTGAAACTTTCCGGATAAGATACAAAAATCCCAAGCTCCCTTTCCTTGCAAAAAATTCTACTAAAATCTAACAAATGATCTAAAATTGTGCAGCGATTCCAACTATTAGTGTTTTATTTCGTAAATCTTTTCTCGTCCCTCAGCACCAAAAAAATTTAGATTATCAGTTTCCTTGCTAAGTCCTGTCACCCATGCATCGATAGCAATACAACAAACTTTATTTCTCAAATACTTGGGAGGTCATAATAAGTACTAGGTGAAGAAGTTTAAGCTGTATTAAATAAGCAATAATTTGAAAAAAAATTTATATTTTCTAAAGCATCCAACACCTCCAAAACTCAGGAACCCATGATCACTTTAGAATTTTTTCGCCGCATATACTGCAGCCTACTTTACTCTAAATGCACGCTAAAAAAATTGAGACCTTCAAGGGAAACTGCTAACAAATAGACAGTTAAAGTTTTTAGTGAGGATGACTTACCACCAGGGAAAGGTCGCAATAGTTGTGTTGAATGAATGTGCAGGCCGCCTTTAATTGCTCAGATGACATCGCCTCTTCAGGAGATACGTGGAGAAGATGTATTTGCTTCTCCATAAAAGCACGAGCCCGCGCTGATGACAACAGTTCCTTTGAAACTAATGCCACCGGGTGCTTAGCCCCTCCAACATCACCCAGTTCCGAAAACCAGACGCACGCGGGATTTTCATAGCGGAAAACACTTCGATCTCTGTTTGACTCAGTTCCTTCCTCACTTTTTGTAGCACTCGTAACTGACATGAGAGCTTCGTCTTGAACTTTTCCAGTCTCAAAACTAGAAGTAACATCAGCATACAGCAAAACAAAATCTAAAAATTCCTCCGAAAACAGAAAAACTAATTTACTCAACCAATTAATCAATAACCACTCTCTACCTGTTTTTAATATACGAAGAGCTTAAGTGAATATCTTCCATTCGAGGAGTCAGTGTAGCCGCTTCATCAGCTGACCCTAAGAAAAATTTTATAGCTTTCCTTTCCAACAAGCCACCGATATTTGAGAAAAAGTTTCTCAATCTATATAGATTTTTTTAAATCCTCAGCGAACACTCACATAATTGGTTCACATCTCAATCAACCAAACAATATTCATACAGAATCGTAATCTTATCAAAAAAAATTTTCTCTTTTTCTTAACCTGACAGCACTGCTGGCTTTCAACATATTCATACTTTCCATATTAAAACCTCACTCTCAATCCCCTTAACGTAACAAATTCCAATAATTTTTAGAACGGAAAAGTGTGAATACCCATCAGGAAGGTCTGCTGGATCTACAGGCAATGTACCAGTCCTTAGCACAAAACGACGCTCTCAAAAAGCTCTCAAATATAGCCTAAACCTAATTAACAAGTGAATTCCATTTAAGCTGGTGCGAACATTCTCAGAATTTAGCCCAACAATTTTACATTTTCATTCTAGAATATTTTTGAAAATTCAATCTTGCTTAAGCAAAGTAATCAGCGTCTTAAATGACTCACAGAACTTTGCAGAATGAAGACGACTAAAGCAGTGAAGAAAATATGTCCCTAACTGCCTAAAAATACGTTACCTCTGTTGAATAATGCAAACACAACATAAAGAATCAAAATAAATTACCAAATGCACTGCTTTTGCGAATATAACTCAGTGAAAAAACGGAATTGTAACTTCCGAATAAGTCTTCTCGAGTAGATGGCTTTTTTGCAGAGAGCCACTGAAGCCAGCGCTCATGCGAACTTTTCAATTCAGACACTGACTGGCTCGCGCGAGCGAGGGCTAACTAAACTTTCTTCTTATCAGACGCGGCTCTCTTAAGGGAAGCATAAAATTTTAATTAAGCAAAGAATTTTCCTAAATTTCTTCTGGTCCAAATTTCCACACTAACTAAGTAGTCTTCATAAAATAATGACGGATATATACAAGTCAAGCGCCGCTGTCAAGCAACGTAATAAAACATACAATGTAATTTATTCTGCCACGAACCTTCATCTTTCACATTTGTAATTGTTAAAATATTATCTTTGAAGAGAAAACCCCGGTATAATGTTGTGAATATAAGAAAGAGAATTAACAGTGAGTTTCAGTAAAGCGTACCTTACGAATAAATACTCCTAAAACACTTCTGCTGGTCACAAATCCATGATACTCTCGGTCACGAAATGAATGGGTTAAACGACGGCGCCTTGGAGGCGCCTGAAAGATCAAATCATCTTTCTGAATCAAAATTTCGATCGATCCACGGTACTCATTCAGGCTGAGAAAAAAACTAGTGATTCTAGACTGTTAGTAAAAGAAGTATTTGGGATGGATTTGTGAAGCAAGTAAGCAGAAGTAATACCTTCTTTGCTTGAACAAATGAATCGAGATACGTTACCTTTCAAGAAAAGAGGGGTAAAGGTTAGGATGAATCCGATTAAGTGGCCCTTGAATCGCCTTACAAAACTCCAGAAAACTTAGATGAACTGAGGAAATTAATGTATAGAATAAGAAGCCCAATCTCGTTAAATGACTCTGCTTTAAAGATGCTTCTTTACTGTGAAAGGTGATGCTACGAATCAGGATGTAGATCGCCAACTAAAAACCCCCAATAATTACCTTGATATTTTCGAGATAAACTTGAAGTTTGCTCTTAATTACAGAAAAACCATACTTTAAAAGGCGTTATTGGTTCATAAGCAGACTTCTCATACAAAAAAGCAAATGCATCGTCCAAATTCAAACGCTCAAGAGGGAGGACCATACCAACGCACAACAGCCTACAAACAAAAAGTTGCAAATTCTTAATAAAAAGGTCGAGCAAGGCTGCTTCAAAAAAAACAAAAAAATACGAAAGAATGAAGCTAAGCTGTACAATTTTACTTCTGTAATAAAAACACAATATTAACAACACTTCCACAATGCTTGAGTACGTATTTTCGAAGTCAACAAAATGTCATTACTTCTCGAGTAGTGCAACAGTAGCTATAACGAAATACAGAAGTCTACTCTTTGCGGCTCTGGCTTGAAAGTAAGCACTTCTAGACGAGGTGACACATAAAACTTAATAAAAACTCTAAACTATCCCAAAGTAACAATGCAGAAACTCTCTTCACTTCATCTATTTGCTGTCGCTCAATGGATAGAAGTGGAATGGCTCAATAAGTGATGGAAGCTATGTAAACAAGGCGAGGATAAGGTAGTGGTGGAAAGGCTTAAATAATATTTGCAGATTTTATGCGGTCGTTCTGGGAAACTGACAACCGAAAATGAAAACGGCTTAAACTAGGAAGAAAATTCCAAGTAATTTGAGTATTTAGAACATTTTTTAAAAAATATGGTACAGTTATGGACCAGGGAAAATCGCAAATAACCGTAAACTGCTGGGAAAATGAAGAATAAGGCATACACAGTGAACCGACATATGCAGTAGCAGGATTTTTACATAATGAGTTCGGGACCAAAAGCCTAACCTATGTAAAAGAGTTTACGTTTGTAGTGGAGCAACTCCAGAAGAGTAAACTCTGCCGAACACCAAACAGTAAGCAGTCGCCCTCCGACTTAAAGCAATCTTCCAAGTCACCCGTTTCTGCAAAAATTGAACGCCGCCTTATCTGCCTAAGTACAGTGAAACCAAAAACGACCTCAAGCACATATGTTAAAGGCAGCAATATGGAGATTTGAAAACTGGCAATATGCCGAAAGACCCTTTCTTTTCATCCGAGCAGTTTTGCTACTTCTTTATTATGTATAAATATTAAATATTAATTTACAAATCTTTTGCAATATCATACAGTAATCAATCAAAACACTTTCACCAAACTGGAGATAAAACATCTAAAAATGATACAGTGTACGACCAAGTATATATATATA